GCTCAGTCATTATTTGAGATTGTATGTATATTTTAGTAAGGCTGACTCAAGTTTACACGAGACCTTGAGCCTCGAAAGTTTAAAATACTTTTTGCAACGAACATCAATTGCTTTATCCTTAATCTTTTAGTTAAAAATATTAAAAAACTAAAAATGTTACTTGGATATTTAAAAGGGAGCGTACAATAAAATCACTGCCTAACATTTTAAGATTTCTTTCACGCCGAGAATTCGAATTTATAACTTTGAGTAAAGGAATTAAAAAATCTTTATGAACTATGACTTAGCGAACATGTTCATTATATTCAATTGTTAAAACATAAATACTAATATAAATTAAATATTTATTTCTAAATACATAAGATTTTCTGAAAGTGGTGTTGGCATTAAAAATATCAAATACAATGTTCCAAACCATTACGATTGGTACAAACGATAAACTTTTAATTTTTGTTTAACTGTAAAAAAGCCCTAAGAAAAGATAATCTTTATAATAACCGTTTACTGTGGTGAGTAGAGAGGTTCTGGATGACGTAAGTAATACACGAATTCACAAAAACAGAAAAGTGAAGTCATTTTGAATTCTCTTAATAACAGAAATGTCGTCATTTTGTAGTATATCACAAATTTTTACATAAATCTAAGGTAAGAGACAATGCTGGCTTCATGGTTTGCCTTTAAAAAAAATGCAACATGTTTTAAAAAGTCCAATAATGTAATCATTATACCTACTCCTAAACTGTTTCGTTTCCTCATCATCAACTCAACACAATTTTCTATTACACTTCTGTCTATAATCAAAGATACGAAAACATTCTAGATAATATTGATATAGTAGATTTTTTATTATGTTAATTTTAATCAACTATATATCAAGATTTCACAACAACGATGTTAAATGTATGTAAACCATATTAAGAGTGACATAAAACAGAAAAAATTAGACAAAATTGGAAAAAGTATACGGAACGCTACGAGTTCCAAAATAGAGAAGCGCAAACAATCGTAACGCGAAACATAATATTTTGGAGCCCTTACTAGTTTATAGGACTTATAATAGCGTGTATTAAGGTTGATATTCGCCGGTCGTATTTTGGTGAAGTCAAGTCACGTATAAATACAATGGCATCGGTCGTGTAGACCGCGATGGAATGTTTTCGCGTCACATCGGTTCATTTTCAAGCCATTGTTGCAATAAACAATGAACTATAGCAAGTAAGATAGAAACTGCGACGATTGCTGCGTTACTCATCCCTTCATTATATTTAAAGTATTGTAGATACTTTATGTAGGGATGATTTGCCATCAAAGTTTCATTTTTTCTTACAATTTTGGTGGTGCTGCAATATCTCGAATTTATATAGTATAAGCTGATCCGATAGACGTTGTTTTGTCTAAATTAAAAGTATTGAATTCGAACAGTTTTTTACGTACCGATTGTCATTTCAGGACTACGAAAGATCACGGCTTCGAGTCCCATTTCAGAGTGCCAGGGACAAAGTGGATTTATTAAGCATTTTCATAAGTTTATATTATTCAAAGCACTAAGTTTACATTATAATTAATTTTATATGGTAGTTAAATATTCCTATATTTTCAAATTTTCCACACAGTTTTCTTATATTTTTTTTTCATTCATAAGCACCTTATGCTAAAAATAATTAACACAGTAAAAAAGAATTGGCGAAGTATGAATAAGAGATTGCTTCTAAAATATAATAATGTATATTTAATATCAGCTTATATGTTCATTAGAAAGACAATTGGTGCGAAATTCTTCTAGTATTAAATGTATTTCAATGTATTATTGTCATATGATGATATGTTTATACAATAATCGATAATCCCATTTTATATGTATAGTTTTTTTTCAGAGATAAAACTACTCCATTTTCTTTTATAAAACGGAATATTCAATACTATTTTACTAATAACATTGTTATGGTATTTCCCATTGACCTAGAGCTATAAAATTTGCAAAGTAAATTCAAGGAAAAATCCGAAAACTATACGTTTATAATTAAATTGTAAAATATATTATACATAGTGTTATAATGGGTACTCTTTCTCTAATATTTTGATGAAACCCGGGTGCCCTTTGCTTCGCCTAAAATTATAAGTCCTAATTTAACATGGCCGAACTGTATTGACCTAAACTTATAACGTACAATTATTGTTTAGCTTAACCGTTGTTTTTTTAGTTGTTTATCATAGTTTGGTCTCAGAATTGAAAGCCCTAATTTTAGAATTCCTAATATGAAATCCACCAAAAATATATTGGCATATCTTCATTTCGGTTAAATATTAAAAGCTCTCATTTTAGCATTTCTAGTCTTAAATGTGCAAAAAAAAAACGGTAGCGGTGGACGCGGCAGTGGACGGTAGCCATCTGCGACGATAAGCACGCGTAGGACCACCGGAGCCCCGCAGCGCCGTAGCCGTGACAGAAGCCATGCGTGCTGCATGATTGCTTGCGTCCTGCATGCTTGCCTGCATGCTGCATGCTTCGGCTTTGGCTTGCTGGCCGGCTTCGCTGGTTAGCCTCAGCCGCGGCGGTAGGCGGAAGCCATCTGCGACGAAAAGCACGCGTGGGACCACCGGAGCCCCGCAACGCCGTAGCCGTGACAGAAGCCATGCGTGCTGCATGCTTGCCTAAGTAATTGCGCCTGATAAAAACGTTAAGGCGTTTTATACTTTCGTGCGTTTTAATTTTGTTCGCATTACTATTTAGTAATTGCGAGGAGTAGGGATAGCAGATTGTTCCGCCCAATGTCACATTTGGTAAGTTACAATACGGCGATAAAAAGTTACGCGAAATGATATTAGATTAAACACCATTAGGAATATTAAAATTGTGATAAAAAAAATTAGGCTGACCGTTTACGTGCCAAAGCCAATTAGGAGTACGGCGACCCAATATACACCCGATGGAACCCTCACTTTTGGCCGATTTTTTATCGTTAACAATGATATGAATATTTGCCATTCAGGATGATATTAAAAAGACCTAAAAGTTATTTTTATCTAAAATCTCATAGTCATTTGGAATACTTCCTTAGTACTTCCGCCTAAGGTTTTTTTTTTTAATATTCAAGTAAAAATGAATCAGTATTAACTAAAAAGAATTCGGTTTATAAGTCAAATTTTACCTTAAAGTTATATCAACGGGTTTTGTCCGATATTTCTGTAAATGTCACGTTTTTGTGCATGAGCGAGATTTTCGCAATAACATTTCTGAATTCTTGCTATTGCTAGAACATCCCTTTAAAGGAATGTTATAAAAATAGAACTAAATCGTAATACACGTGTACCGTTATGTTGAAAGTTTGGTGCCACGTTTTATTTGAATGTAAGAGCCTTAAATATATCTGAAACCTTAAAAATAGAAACTGTTTTTCCAACATTTGACAAATATTTCTTCAGCTCATTACGTCAAAGTTCAAAGAAAGTATTTTTAACGTCTCCCAAATTAGAAGGCTTACAAAATAACCTCTAATTTAATACAAAACAATTCTTTGACTGGTTTTGAAATAGGAGTTAAGGACAGCTTTCGTTATTGCAATACGAAACTTTCTCGAAACTGGAGCATTATATTGAACTTTTAGAATACAAACCCTACTTTCGCCATACTCATAGAAGCTTCACCAAGATTTCTAAAAATGTATTAATCATTAGCAACAACTAAAAAAACCTTATCCATCATACGGGCATACAAGGGTCCCCTTGGGAATTTCAAATAAATTGTCGTACTATTCGGAGTCGGATACTTAAGGCTTGAACTAGACTGCGATAAAACGCAAGTCTGAAATTGTGCGGCTTGTAACAGATAGCGTTCTATACAAGCGTACACATTATCTGTCAGGAGATAGAACCGCACTGTATGCGGTTTTGCGTTTTCAGCTATACATAAACTGCGTACATTTAAACGTAGTGCGATATAGTTCTGAGAGGCAGTTTTTAAGAATGTGTTTAATATAAAAAAGTAATTAACAACATTACTTATATTTTTAATGAACTTGTTACTTTGATCTCTTCCAACCATACTATCTCAGAGTACCAGGGACAAAGTGAATTTTTATAATATTTTTCAGTATAGTAGTCAGGAATATAGTTGTGAAAGCAAAATTGATCAAATATAATAACATTAGTTATATTTATGACATCAGTATGTCAAAAGTCAGCACCAATAATGTTCTTGGCAACAGATGTAGTGTAAACTAGCAACATTTACAATATATGTATTATATATGATTACGATGAATAAACCCAAAACAAAAGAGGAATTTCCGTTTCCGATTGCCCAACAACTTGCTGTAAATATTTATATGCCCTAGTTATTTTAATTGAATACAGTAGTTGAATAGCTTTATAATTACAACTTGACGTTTGTATGTTATATAACATTTTTAGAGCAAGTTAATAAAGGTAGTTTCTAAAAGGAATACAAAAAATATAAATGCATACGAGTAAGTATGTATTTATATTTTTGTAAGCCTTTGAAGCAATATTAAGTATCTAGCTGACGAGGAAAATTTCGCTATTTATTATTTATTAAAGTTCTGTCACATGCCGTCAATAACTTTTTGTGTTAGATTGTAAAAATGAATTAGGTAAAACTTTCTTTTAACATATAATAAAGAATACATACGTTTCCGCGATTCATTCATTCATTCATCATTCATCAAACCACAGAAGTCTAGAAATGTCAATTCTAAAAATAAATACCGTCATTTCTTATTAGCAATCTGTTTAATTAACTCTCGCTAGGTATATTTATATTCACAGGAGAACAAACTATTCTTGAATATAGTTCATGTAATTTTCAGGTGATGCAGTTCCGTAGAGGTTCACATTTTAGAATATATTGACTGAATAATAGTTCTTTACATTTTATCTTGTCACAGGAAAAATTGTATAATTTATTACAATTTCAATAATATCTAAACAACAAAAGTATCTAATAACAGTTATTTGGAAAATTTTAATATTGTTCGTCACTTTCACAGGCGTATTATTTCAACCCAAACATTACTGAGTTTATTGATATTATCCTTTTTCCACATTTCTTGATTAGTTACCATGTTATCCACAATATTATCCAAAATATTTTTAATACTAACTGGGCCAGATCTGCTCCAAGTAGCTAACATTCTAGTTATAGATTCCAATTCTTCAATATCGTCTTCAGTTAAAACATATGCAGCATCAATCTCTTTGAATAGCTTATTTATCAATATAGCACTTTTTTTAAGTTCATATGGTATACTTTTATGATAATCTGGGTTTGTTATTATTTCATCAATGAGGTCTAATATATCTCTCTGTGCTATCGGGTCAGATTTAACGAACAATTTTAAGTTTTTATGTAACTGTGGACTGGTTTTGATATGTTCCTCATTCTTAATTAGTATAATCGGCAAGGTGTTGAATAATTCAACCAATTTATTATTTTTTTCATTTAGAAGAAACCGTAACCATTCAATAATATAGTCCGAATAGTTTTCTCGCTCTCTGCATACTGATACTATAGTGCACATAATCAATTCAACAAGTGCACTACTGCACTTTGTTTGCTGTCTAAGCAATTTGTCTCTTGTGGTCTGATTATACCATTTGGTAGGTTTATCCAGCGATCCTCCGACTTTAAGCAAATTGTATTCAACAATCTTTTCAATTATCTCATTTGACAAATTCATAAAATCTAACATGAATTCTTCGGAACCGTTAAATTTCTTTTCTTTCATAATAATTTTCAAATGATGATGCAATAAAAATTCATACTCATAATCAGTGCTGTTAAAAACGTTATCAATAGACGCAATGTCAGATTTATCTAAACCGTAATAGTTTTCAAAATTAAATTTCATATTATCTAACCGCTCTAAAGATACTCCTATAAGCATATCTAAGAATTTATTCCATGGAACAGTGTCATTTGTTTCAGAACTAGAATCCACTAAATGAGTTGCATTATTAATATCAATAAGTTTTGCGTTATTGCCGGTAACATTTACACTTTTAGATTTATTTATAGTGCTACTACTTTGCCATCGTATTTCACTTTGAACAATAGAAATAATAGTCACTGAAAAAAAATATCGAATATAAGTAGCAACTATGTTTACAACTTTATTAAATAAGAAAATGTTTCTCACCTAATATAATGAAGTAAGAGTTACACATAGTGATCCCGCTAGCACTCTTGTTTTTTTTTTAAAGGTATGTGTGACTGCTCAATAAAATATGGAAACAATAAATGTAAAATCGCAAAACTATTTGTTTTATTACTTTTACATTACTATTATTTTCTGAAGTGGAAATATTAAAATATAACCTAGTTCTACTAATATTATAATATAGTTTTTTCAATGCTTCTGAGTGTCAAATAGGCATGGGGTAAGAAGTTATATTTTTGACAGTTCTTGTCACCACCGTCCACCACACGTCGCCACCTGTGGCTGACTAGCGGAATTATTTCTTGTAGTTGTATTTCTTACATACTTTTAGCTAGCAGTGTCAATGGTCATCGACCAATTTATTAATGTATGTCAGAATATACCTATCTCTAAGCAGAGAAACAGCATAATAATGCTAATGAAATCTACATCTTTTGAAGGTATATGAATGTGCGATTGTTTGTATAATGATTTGTCATTTGCTTATCGTCAAACATGAGTGAACTTTTAATGTGCAATTTTTTAAATGTAATTATTGATTATAAGCATTGATGATTATATATCCCGTATGGCTGCTCAATGTTTTCTTTGGAATAAAGTGTTCAACTTAATTAGGTTTTCTCAATTAGTTCTCAATTAAGTGTTCTAAAAAAATATGAAAAAAATATAGACAACTAAGTACTCTAGTGTATAAAAGAATGACGTCAAAGCAGATAGCGATATCCACTCTTGAAATTATTTCTAATTGTATATGTACATTATGGTTGATAAGATAACTAGTTTTATCAACAACGTGGTATTTGACATGCGTTAAAATTGAGGTATCATCAAAGTTGTAGCAAGGTAAATCGTGGTATGAATGTTTTGCTGGGATTGTTTTTAGGTTTTCGTACCCAAAAGAATTATACAGGTCCCTATGTTATAATTTTTTAAAGATGCTACGGAAACCTTCCCGCGATAATCCGACTCACACTCGGTCGGTTGTTTTTAATCTCTGAAAAAGATTTTTCAGGATGTGAGACCAGAAAGAAAAAAAAGAACTGAATTATAATCAATTGCACTCTTTTCCTGTAGCTGGAAAAAAGTCTTCATATTAATCGCACCACTACTGACTCGCGAAAAATCTACTTACAGCTCTCCAGGGGAAGCGATCATTTCTTAAATTCACACCAATACTTCCGTCCCTAGCGTCTGTCCTTATGACTTATTTATCGTCATGGTGAAGCCCACAGAACACAGAAAGAGGTCTGTGTTCTGTGGTGAAGCCTGTAGCCACAGCCAACTGGGTGTGTTTGAATTCAAACGGAAAATTGATGGAGATAAATGGTATACACGGTATTAGCACAATTTCACCTTTACGACAGCCGGACAGAAACACTGCTTCGATAATATTTATCTGCAAAGCAATCATCTTAAGCCGGGTGCCGTTGCATAACTTTGGTAGAGAAGGGTATCTCGCTTACATTAATTTGTTTCTTTATTTTCTACGGGAAGACTGACAAATACCTCCTAAACAGAGATTTGTGAATAACCCATTAGTTGATCATCTCGGCGAATATCTGTTACCATCCTGTTCACAGCTTCGAGGGTTTGTTATACATGGTTCATTCGTCTCAACCATTAGACACAAATTCTTTAACATTCACTGTGTCACAATTTTGCGTTACAAAACAGGTTGGTGTTGCATTTCTGTCTAAATCAATTAGGATTTTGAACGTTGTGTGTGACATCTCACTGCCAGGAAGCAATTTAGTTTCAATCCCTGAAGATGCTACAGCGAGAGTGGTCTTATTATATCACCTAATTTCAGCTAGAACAGCCAGAATTGCTCTTTTGTTAAGTGCTTCTTCCCTCCCAAACATCACATTATTACAATTAAAATTGCGTGTGAAATTATTACACGCAATTTGTCGAATATAGATTCAAACAGGGGGCCAATTCTACTAAATAAATTTTGTTTAAATCAAATCGAAAACGGACCGAAGCCGAACAAAACTACAGTTTTTAATGGTTTTCCTATTCTACAAAGTGACATACGATATAATTTGTTATATTTCAGCTGGAATTGTATCGTATGTCACTTATTTGAATAGAAAAACCATAAAAAAACAGTAGTTTCGTTCGGTTTTGATCCGTTTTCGATTCAATTTAAACAAAATTTATTTAGTAGAATTGCCCCCAAGTTCAATAGTATATTGGCAAAATGTACTTAGTTGAGAAATCTATTGAGATGGTATTGTTACGTCAAATTAATCAAAATTCATACCAACGTTGATGTATTGAATAAATCTAAGAAAAACAACTTTACTACATCCACGAGGAACAACTAGGACCATGAGGACTAACGGAGGTAGAACATAATCTCCAGAAGGTTTATCACCAAATGCAAAGAAAGTTTATTTTATAGAACAAAAGGAACTATTTGACATTTTATTGTCGGTAGGAGTGATTGCATTCTGCACATTGTTTCTCAGTGTGTAAAATTTCTTCGGATAGATTTTTTTTATACTTTTCATATATTCGTAAGGGATCTGAAAGGCCACAAGACATCAAAATTTTTGCTAACAAATGACACAAGGAACGGAGACTATCACTAACCATGCTTCTTCAAGAGTGTTGATCATCGTTAAGAAGGTGAATTGTCACGTAAGTTGCTCGAACAGTTGGCATCAAAAAAGTAAATGAAGTTGGTACTCGAATTATATGGAACAACAGGCGCAAAAATTAACATTCTCCATTATTGGAATAAACTAGAGCAGCAAAGCGATCTATGTAAAAATTTATAAGATAATGGCATTAAAATCAGCTGGAAATGCTCATCAGATTGAACTACTTTCGTTAATACATCATTCCTTTAAATGTTATATGCTGAGCTCTTAGAAATCCACATCAGATATTCCAAATCTTCGAATTTTAATTGCGCTACAGAAAATACTTAGTCATCGGACATAAACAACTTTAGTTAAGACCTCAATCCCGTATATTCTACACAATATGTTCTTTTTTTTTGCTTTATTTATTCTTTTGTTTTTATCCAGTTTTGTTAACTTAAGTTCATAAGTATTAATAGTTTTAATACCTAATGTCTTCCTAATGTTGTTGTTCTCCAAATTTATGGAACAATATTGTAACGTTTGAATTTGACAAACATAGGAACTCAAATTATATTATTGTTAAGTATTGGTACATTTTATATATTTTCTATAGGTCTATTATAATTTCAATAAATCACAATAATTTATTTTTCTATGTACGACTGTTTGTAGCCTGAAATAAATGAAGAAGAAAAAATATATTCTATACTGTTAGTGGTCTACTGGAGTTCTACATCACATATGCTTGTCGAGTGGAACAATTTTTGCTATGGCACTATTTCTGTATCTCTTACTGTTTCGTCGATCTTTTGGGTTTCCAGATAACGGAGACCCGCCATCAAAATGAATTATAGCCTGTGATCAGGATTTACAGCATCAAGATAAAAAATAAATTATTAAAATCCGTTCAGTAGTTTCAGAGAATAGCGGGTACATACAAAGAGATATATAGGCAAACAAAGACGAACATTTTTAGAATCATTCAGTTGTATTCTATTGGTGTTTTAGTAACGCCCTGAATTAATGAAATATATTTAACGTACAGACACATTTTGTTTTATAATAGTATAGTTTAAAATTCATATTTTACGATTCATCACGATTTTTATTAAGCAAAAATTATTTTGACAAAAATTAAAGTCGTTCATAGAATTTTTCATGTCGACAAATAGATTTATTAATAAAAGTATGACATCCGCTCAGTTAAAATAATTACTTAAAGTGATTTTTATGCGCTTATATTTATTACGGCGAGGGGTCATATCGTCAATTTGATTCGAACTTTATTACGATGTCATAATCAATGGAATTGAATGGAACATCAAACTAACGCCTTTTTGCAACGGATCTTTTTACGTCCTACCTATTCCATAATGACTTTGGTGTTCGTTTTAAACAAAAAAGTGAGTTATTATATTCAATACCTTGTTATTATAACGGAAAATAGAGGTTTATCGATGATATATTTCTTAAGCTGCTATATACTATTACTGTAGTGTTTAGTATTTTATTCTAGAACACATTCAATTTCTCGTTTTTTTTCGGGCTCCGTTATTATCGCTTTAATTTGCGATGTTAAGTTAACTATCGTAAAAAAAGTCGGTTGTCCAAATGAATTTAGAGTAAAAACTTTTGACTTGCGAATTTTTGCCTCTTGTAATCTTTTAAAGTAGGTCTGATTTTCAAATAAGATATTTGGTTTCCCAAATTTTCCTTAGAGCGTAGTGTCGGATGTTAACATCAGGTCCAGGTAATCCATAAAACATGCAGTGCGAAAGAGATTACCCGACTTTCCGAGATAAACGCCATCTATTTAAATTTTCATAGGCGGTAAAAAGTAAATAATAACCGTTTTATTCTATTATTAATAATGACAATGATTTTGCTAGTACTAAGTGTCACTCGACTAAGCATTTTTTGCAATTTGTTGATGTAATAAAATAAAAATAATATGTTAACTCCACAACCTAATCAACAAGTCACTTGTTGTCTTAAAAGCTCTTTAGTTTTACCAAGTAACTTTTTGAAATAATAAAAATAGATCTGTGTAGCTTAAATTTATTAAATATATCCGTATCACTTGGCACCTTAAGATACGAGTGTGTTGGGCCATTCGATTGTATGGCCAGCGATATTTAATCTTAAGATATCATATTAAAGCATCTTAACTCACTGTTCACGACCTCAAGCCGTTTATAACGGCTTTATCTACAGTCGTTAATACCCACCAATTCGCACTGAGCCCGACTGGTGGGTCATGGCTTATTTTCCCTATTCGATTTGTTTCAATTCCACCTAAAGGAAAATACCTATGAGGCACAAGCACAGGCTGTGCCCAGCAATAAAGACATTAATAGGATGATAATTCAATACACCAAAATGGGTTTTATTCTTGTATCCTTTTATCTGTGCTTAATCACCCGGAATCGAGGTTAAATGTAACCTGTTAACCTTCACGTGATTCGCTATTTGATGAAATTAATACCAAAATCAAACAATTAGGTATCAAACTGACTTTAATTTTGTTAAATTTTCAATATTAATTTTGTTAATTCTGTTCGAAATCAAAACAAATTTAAAGCAAACATGAATAATTTCATCAATCCTATTATGAAATTCCACTGAAATAATTTTTGTTTTAATGAAATATCAGTAATAGCCAGATAAAATATGAAATCAAATTTTAATACATGAATATTTTATCAACAATAAACTGACGAGATATTGTATGTTTTACAGTAGTCATGCATGATTTAAAATAATACATTATAGAAAATCCGATAATAATAAATAATATATAATTTATTTTAATTGATAAAGACATCTCATTTGCGCCTTTATCATCTAAAACTGAGAAATCTAATAGAAAAAATTTAGGCAGAATATTAAAATTGTAAGCTAACATTTTCAGGAAAAGTAAATAGAAAGTAGACTCTTTGGTAGTGTTATTCAATTTCTTTTCATTAATTACCTAATTATTTCGGATAAAAATAATAAAAATAAAAATAATCTCTTCTCTCTTCATATTTTTTCCATGAGTGTAATTGTAATTTCAACAGCGTTAAATTACAGAACACATTTATTAACTGTAATATTCAAACATTTTCTTATAAAAATATTGGATTTTCTTCGATTTGATCATTAACGAATGTTCGAGGTGTTTAACACAATTTTCGGTGATGTAAAGAAAACGGCAATGAATAAAATAGCGGGGAAGATCTCCTTTCGCACAGATCACTTGATATGGAAACTTTATCGATCTGTGCCTAACATACCGTTGCTTTCATGTTTCGTGGGAAGTAGGGTAGAATATTTGTCGAGGCGAATGGTTCACCCAAGCGCGACTAGAGCGTGTCCCCTTCCTAAATAAAGAACCGCAAGTGCCCATTACCATTTTGACGTAGATATTTATCGATCGTACACGCTTCGGGAACTCTTGACGGACATCACAGGTTGGTTTTAAAAATAATAGGGAATCGGATGTAGGTTAATAGGACGATACTGATTACGTCACATGTCAACAAAAGGAGCTTGTTTGTTTTGTTGTTAATGGGTTTGCGATTACGGAGATTAAGAAAATTTCACAGAGATTGGTCATCGGGTGAATGACCATTACTTTGTATATATCGAACGTCTTCTTGCTTAGAAAGGTAAATAAGTGAGCATTCATCGACGAACGTCATCTCTTGGTGTCAGCATTGCCAAGTCATCTGTAATATCTTGTCATCTGTTCAAACCTATAAAGCCTGTTGAACTATTTTTATTTATACGGGGACTTTGTATGCTCCTTAATTTTAAAAATAAAGGAAGGACTTTTATGATTCTGAAAAATCAAGTATACAGCCAGAAATATTATGTATGACTTTTTAGCAGCCCACCCTGGTAAAGGTAAAACATTTGTAAGGTCCAACAAGTTACATTAATACCGCAGCCTCAGGAACCTTAGCCGAAGTGAGTGATTGATCTTTGCAGGTGCTGTAAAGTGAGAACATGAATAATACATTCCGTCTCCTTGTATCCTGTAGAAAAGGAAACAGACATTTTTGTCCAACAACTTTCAGAACATATGAGTAAAATAGAGTAAAATTTGCCAACTGAGTAATAAATTAAAATATTCGACAACATAACATTAACTGTCAATATTCCAAGATAAGTAATTAAAGCCCTCATACTATGGAGTATCTGGAACAACTAATGTACCACAAAGCCCAGAGCCGAGACAATTTAGACCAGTATTTTTTTTATAATGACCTGGCTGAGAGACCTAGGCTTTTACACGCGGCAATACCTTGAAGCCAGCACGTGAGCCACTGTGAAACAGACATTGCAAATTTAAAAGTGATATATTAGATCACTGTTCTTAGATTCTTAGAAGATGACTATGGTTTATTTTGCTGTTTAGGACTTGGTTTCCTATTAAATGGAAACATTTGATTGAATCCAATGTCAACCTAATCGAAGCTTGTGTAATAATGTGGTAGGCCTATAGAGTTGGGTAAAATTAATGTGTCTACAAAATGTTTGTTTACATAGTGTAAAAATCAATCACGATAGTAATCATAGAAGTGTTTACTTGCCAAATACAGCAAATAACTGACATGAAATTGATTTTGAAAAGAACAAATAAAAGCAAAGAAACAGTTATTACAAAAAGAAACAGTTATTATAACGAACGATTGTATAAAAATACTGAGCTTTATTTTAGGATCGAAATATTCTTGGTTATAAATTTTAGTTACTAAATTTCACTATATACACAAAATTTCAATGAAATACAATTTCAGTGTGTGTGTTTTTTTTTCACACTACCATATGTAGTCTAGACCTGACACGAACGATTTTACAACAATCTTAAAGAGTTAACTACTTAATAAACAATTATTTTATACTTGTTATGCCGTGCAATACTCCATCGTTTGTCTCTTTCTGTCTTATAGTTCGTCATTTGATCTAGTTTTTTCTTCAACATCATGAGGAGCCTATTAAGCTTAAGCTCATGTAGCAGATAGATCTGATGCGTATAAAGTTTA